TGGGGCTTCGTCTGACATACTTTGGACATGTTGCCAGGAGGGACGGGTCCTTGGAGAGGGACATCATGCTTGGGAGGGTTGAGGGACAACGCAGGAGGAGAAGACCCTCTATGAGATGGATTGATTCGGTGACTGGGGTAATCGGGATGGATGAGTCAGAGGCGGTGCGGTTGGCACAGGGTTTAGGGCTGTTGTGCATAGGGTCGCTATGAGTCGGAAACGACTCGACGGCACATAACAACAACAACAACAGAAACACAAAACATCTTTACAACGAAAGCTACAAAACATTTCTATGAGAAACAATAAAAGAGCTAAATAAATGGAAAAATGTTCCTTGTTCATAGTTAGGAAGAGTCAATATAGTGAAAATTGCAATCCTACCAAAAGCAATCTATGTGTTTAATGCAATCCCAATACAAATACCAAATTCATTTTTTAAGGAGACTGAAAAGGTAATTGTCAAGCTTATCTGGAGAGGTAAGAGACCCAGAATAAGCAAAGCCCTTCTGAGAAACAAAAATGAAGTGGGAAGCATAGGATTCCCTGAACTTAAAAGCTACTACACAGATGTAATAACCAAAACATTGTACTAGTACAATGACAGCCACATAGACCAACAGAACAGAATCGAGAACCCAGAAATGGATCCATCTATCTATGGTCAACTGAAAGTCCACAGGAAATAAAAACTATCAAATGGGAAAACTCCAACCTCTTCAACAAATGATGCTGGCAAAACTGGACTGCTACCTGCAGAAAGCTGAAACAGGATTCACATCTCACACCATACACAAAAATCACCTTAAGGTGGATCAGACCTGGAGGTAAAGCTCAAAACCATAAAGGTCATCAGAGACAAACAGGGACCAAGCTTAGACGGTGTAGCCTATAAGAAACTGACACATAACAGCCAGAAATACATAATCAGGAGAGGATAAAATTGGTGAACAGGACCTTCTAAAGATTAAATCCCTGTGCACATCAAAAATTTTTTCTTATAGAGTGAAAAGAAATCCTACCAACTGGGGGAAAAACATTTAGAAATATCATCTTAGACAAGGGTCTCATAAAAAAAGTTTACAGAATACTACTGGGCCTCTAGAAGATAATCCAGGTACAAAACAGGAAAAGAAAGACTTTTCACAGAGTAAGACTTTTTCATGGTCAACAGACACATGAAGAAATTCTCAAAATTACTGGCAATAAAAGAGATGCAAACCAAAACCACAATGAGATAGGACAGCAAGTAATAAATGTTGGAGAGGATGTGGAATACTTAAACATTGTGGCATGATTGTAAAATGGTACAACCACTCTGGAAGGCACTTTGGCATTTCCTCAAAAAGTTGAACATAGAAACTCGATATGACCTAGCTATTCCACTAACAGGAATATACCCCAAGGAAAATAGAACTGAGACATAAATGGAGATTTGTACACTAATGTTCATAGCAATGTTATTCACCATTATGAGATCATGGAAACAGCCCAAATGTCCAAGCACAACCAAATAGATTGAGAAATTGTGGTACATTCATACGATGGAACACTATGCAGCACTCAGGAACAATGATATAAAAAAAATACCATATAATTTGGGTGAAATTGGAAAGCATTATGCTGAATAAGCTAATTTAGTCTCATAAGGACAAATATTGCATAAGACCATTATTGTAAAAATAGAAGGATACCTGGCATAACAAGTATAGTATGTTTCCAAGGGCGGGAAGGGGTGGAAGTAGAGGGGTGAGGTTGGGTGGGGGGAAAAAATCACAAGGTCCCACAATTTGATAGGTGGAGGGAGGAGGTAAAGGAAATGGGAAAGACCTGGCAGGGACCTGAAAAGACCAGATAATGGTCGGCATAGGCCAATGGTGATTAATTTTATAAAACCAAATATACATACCTACACATAATACCCAATAGAAAGCTTATGAAAAGAGCACAGGAAAGGGTTGCATGATTGGAAAAACCTTGTACATTTTCATTTGTGTAAATATGGTAGACTACTTTTTAAGAAATATGCTACTGTAAGAATGCAGACAAATCAAACAATGCACACTTTTCTTTTCTCTTAAGCTTCCAGGTCCTAGAGTACAGTCTCATCTACCTCTGCAGGCTTCACAAGTCTCCTTCCCTCAAATGAAGCCAAAGCACTGGCAATTACCAATGGCTGCTTTTCTGGGCCTGTCATTTTTCTCTTTCAGAATCAGATCACGTCGCCTGCTTGTATGGTGTCTTCTACACACCACTGCCATTCTGCACTGTCATTGTCAATTTTCCTGTCCCTTCTCTGAGGCCTTAATAAATGAAGTCTACAAATTACTTGTTGGACTTGATTCTTAGCCTTCAGAAGCCTAATTAGCATACTGTTCAAACCTAAAAAGGTTTAAATTTAAGTTAAATTGTACAAAATAATCAGATCTTTCTTTTGTAGTGCTTTTCATGATTATGGATAAGACTTTCCTTTTTAAAGTCCTTAAATTTGAAGCACATAGACAAGCCATTCCCTTTCAGTTATGTCAAAATAGTCCAGAAAAGAAGAATCAAACTAATCTTCATCACAGCAATGAGGGACTTACTTTTTCGACATACTCAAACACCAAGTACAATTTCCCTCTCCGACGAAAAGCCTCTTTCAGCTCCACAATGTTTTCCTGCTTGAGAGTACGAAGCATTTTAAGCTCTCGTAGGGTCGTTTCCTTGACTTCTTCATTTTCTGGAATGTAAGAAACAGTCAATAGGGTCAAAGGAATGCTTTCAAATCACTGTTCAAAGAATTCCAAGCACAATGACCACATAGAAATTCCACCTTCCACTTTGAGCACCTCCGCATAGAAAAATCTAATGATGGAAGGAAGGTACAACAAATACCACATTTTCTAGTTGAGAGGATCAAGAGTATGGAACTTAAAGAAGAAGTGGCTTACTTGAGCTGCACAAACCTGATTTTCTGCTTATATTTTCTTACATTATGCATTCCAACATATCTATCTAAACTGTAGCCTTAACAGGTACAACATATTAATTCACTATCATTTCACTGGCACCACTGCATGCTGGGAAGAGCACTAAGTGTACCTACCTAAGTGGAGCTCGAAAGGTATCAAGCACAGCAGTGTACAGAGGAGCCTTATGCAGCATCTGTCACAAAGCATATTTTCAAGGTTGGCCTGCAGCTTTGGCTTAACAGAACACTTCTGTTCCTAGGGCTGCATGTGAGTCACCTTGGGGAACAGGGGTCATGCGTCAGCTATCTCAAGGCAGCCTGTGGACAAGTTTCAGAGAATTCTAAGAGTGTCTGACCTTCTCTCTGAACAGTAGCTGCTGCAGGGTCCTGCTGTTATCCTATGGCATGTCCATCTGTCCATCCCAGATGGTATAGCTGTACTGAGATGCAGAGCTTTGGCTGATATATCGTTCCATACCATCAACTTCACTCATGAAAACTTTCCCACCGGCATGAAGGAAAAACCGAAGTCACATTAACTAGTGGATTTTTCGAGAGTAGGAGTTCGTGAAGCTAGTATTCATTTACAATTAGTTGGTTGACAACTTTATGTCATGTATATATGTTTGGATAGAGAGATAGATATAGATAGAGTTACGTGGAAATGTCACAGTCATTTTGGAAATCCAAAATAAAAACCAATAAAATGAAAATGGAAAGCGTTTTCAAAGTTTATAGTATATTCACTTAAAGGTAAAACCTGACCTCAACTGACACAGGCCATTTAAAGCCATTGCTTATCTTATGATATATGAATATTCATGTTGTGCTACTGAAAAATACTTAATTACATATGCCAGAGTAACATGCATTTTAAAATCCTAAAAATTCTTCATTTCCTGGCTTGAATCAGGCATGCCTTAGTCTTTTTTACCCCCACTAGTTTATTTACAAAATTCTAATACAAATTCAGACAAATTCTTTCCATTTTCCTCAGCCCCCCTACCCATCGAATTGTACAATCAAATGATTAATCCCCTCTTCCCCCCGTACATCCACATCCCTCTGCTTCCAGCCTCTCCCACCCCTCCTGGATCCTTATACTCCTCCTACAATAACAGTTTTATACAATATTTATCCTTGTGGGACTGAGTTAGTTCACTCAGCATAATGTTCTTCAGTCCCTCCCAAGTTTACCTCCCCCTGCTTCCCCTTGTTGTGTACCACCTACTTGGAGCAGGGGTGGCATCCACTTCCTAAATATCATGCCTCTGGAAACTCTATGAACTTTGATAAATGTCGATAGTTGTTGAGGGGCTTCAGGGCTTTTGTTCATAGGGTTGCTATGAGTCGTGCTCGACTGGAAGGCAATCAACACCACCACCACAGGAGGAGATTGCCCCTCCTTCTCCAGCGGAGCATCTGGTGAATTCGAACCATGTGCCTTTGACATTGCAGCACAGCTTCTTGCCACTAGGCTACCAGAGCTCCCTAAAAGTTCTTCATTCTAAACATACTTGGCCCCAAGGTTTCGAGTAAGGCCAAAATCCTAGCTAAGTCTACATTGTGTGACCCTCAGACTCAGGTGCATCTTGGCAAGTCTGAGAAGAAAGACAACTGAGGATGGGGCAAGACAGACTAAGATGTCTTCTTCCAGGGAGAAGTTCTTCCTAAGCAAGGTCCACAGGAGAACAAGGCTGGATGGGAACAAAAGGAGAAGGGAAACTAATGGAGTACCAAGAGTACCTTTCAGATTTTCTTAGTCTCTCTTTCAAACTTTATTTAAATGTGTTTAAAGGAGAAGAAACAAACAAAATCATGGGCTTTGTAGCACCTGAACCTCTTCAGTAAACACACAAACTAAAGTCAACACATCTTTGTGAAGTTGTTGCACAAATGGCTGTACTCTCTTCATCACCAAAGATAACTGCTAGAGAATGCTAGAACACAATTATAAAAGGGCAAAGAGAGATTGACTAGCAGAAGGCAAGAAGTGGCAGTAGAAAAAGCCAACAAGGGCATAACCTATAAACCAGGCCAGCCCACATCAGTGTGGGCAAGTAGAAGCTGGATACCCACAGGGCCAATGTCAAGGATGAAGAGCATGAAACTGTAAGTGGCACCTAGGAGTGGGTGAGATGTGATCAGGGGACCCTCAAAAGTGGCTCAGAGGACTGTGAGGGGGCAGAGCAGCAGCAGCTGTCTGTGAACTACTGTAGCCCCAGCTGATGAAGCCCTGGGAATACAAGTTTATAGAGACGGATACGTTGAGAGTCCTCTCCTCTGATATCCCACTCCAAATTACTCTCAAGGTTGGGGCAATCAAACGAAAATTCATCCATCTCTAAGAGACAGAGTGCCACATACATGCCAAGAAGAATCAGACGATCTTTTTAACAAAGATGCAATTTAGCAAGAGACAAACACACTGATTACTCATATCTGGCTCCTGCCTGCAGCTCCAGCTCCAGCTCATACTCCTCCTCCTCACTCATATTAGTCTTTCAGGCTCCAAACAGTCCCAATTTCTTTAAAGCCTTAGGGTCTTTATCTTGTCCCCTCTGCCTCGAATGTTCCTTCGACTGCCAATTCTCTCCAATCTGCCTTTGGTGTTCAGTTTAAATGTCATTCCTCTAGAGGCTTTCCCAGAACCCTATGTCAAGTTAGTTCCCTCTTATCACTACTGCATATCACAGTTCTCTGGATTGTTCTTTCACAGATCTTCTTACAGTTTTTATTTCTCCATTTGTTTCCTAGTTTACCATCTGTGTGGTCTCCTCTCCAAAATCAAGAGTTGCAGGAGGACAAGTCCAAGATCTTTTGTTCAAGAACACACAGTCAACCACAGGACAGTAGCTGACAATAAGAAAATGATCAATAAATTCTTCTCACATTAACACTGTCACTGGCGCCTTGAAGAGTCTGCTCACAGAGCAAGATCTTTTATATTCTCTTAAGGCATAGGAAGAGGCAAAATGATGGGAAATGACAGGTATTTTATCTTCTAACTTTTGAGTATAGTGGTTTCTCAAATTCCTTCTGGAAAAGACTGCTTGTTGGGCAATAAAAACAAGCTGGGTTTATTTGTATTAACTGTTTTCTTTTTTTAAAATGGAAAAAAATTTGGGTATTATTTTCTAAGGCTCATTAGTGGCATAGTATGTAATAGGTTGTCTGCTAAATGGTCAATGGTTCAAATCCATCAGGTTTCCCAGCCTTTAAGTGTTTACCCAACAGAGGGTCACTGTGGGTTGCAACTTGACAGTGAGTTTGGCTTAAGTTAGTTTTTTCCCCTGGAGTTTTCTTATTTCATGCCCTTTCATGATTTAATAAATTACAAATTTGCTTCCACCTGGCCTTTATCTTGGAAGATGTAAGGAGTCTCTAGGTTTTAATAGATGACACCGGCACTATTATTTGGTATGTTCTATAATTTCTGTTGACATAAATACTTTTAAAGGGAGCTCTAGTGGTTAGTCTGTAGGGAGTCACTCTGCTAATCCAAAGGCAGTGCCTCTCTGGTGGTTCAAATACACCAGATGCTCCTTCGGAGAAAGATGAGCAATCTTCTCTGATGTGATTCACAGCATACAAAAACCTGCTGAGGGGTCACCTAGGAGTCAGTTCTGACTTGAAGGCAATGAGAGTGAGTGGATAAAATGACCAAGTGATGGGTGATAGGAAGACACAGTCCACTCAAGGATGGGCCACTCTTCAGAGGTTCAAGAAGTACCAGAGCGCTTCAAGTAACTACTTTTTCTTCTAAGGTGGTACGACATTCCATTAAAATGAGCACAAGAGACTCAGGTTTCTAGTTGAAAGAAGACTTCTAGATTATTTCTTTACATGGGCCATCTCCTCGCGTGCAATTTACTGTGAAAATCTGCTGAATGGTCAGCTTTGGGTCTGTTCTGACTTGAAGGCACACAACAACAGCCACAATAACAGTTTACGAATGGTGTGAAGAGTCCTAAATATCCCATGGACTGTGAAAAGAACAAGCAAGTCTCGCTTGGAGGAAGTGCCACCAAGGTGCTCCTCAGGGTCAAGGATAGTAATATTTGGTCTCACATACTTTGGGCATGTTAGGAGGAACTGTTGTTGTTGTTATGTGCCGTCGAGTCGTTTCCGACTCATGGCGACCCTATGCACAACAGCCCTAAACCCTGCTCTATCCTGCGCCAACCGCACTGCCTCTGACACACCCATCCCG